CAGGCGCCGGCCCCATAGCCGCGCGCTCCGACGTCGGCGCGACAGCCCCATCGGGCCACCGACGGCCCGGCGTCAACTGTCGAGCCCTGAGAAGACAACGCCATGAGAAATACCACCCTGGCTTCAACGCCCAGTCCAAGCGCGCTGGGACCCGGTTGCCCGGGCAACCCTCACACGTTTGTCACAGCCCCTACATGCACCCCACCCCCACCCCACACTTCCCACGCGCCTCAACTCGCGGGATTTAATAACACAGCCTATGTCCGACGATTAAAACTACCCCGCCACCACCCATGGCGCGCCGAGGTCGCCGCGCCCCCTTGCAGGGGGAGTCCTCAGGTGCACGGCGCAGCCCCCAGACTCGCGCGCCCAGGGCAACTCTCACGGGCAGCCCTCCCGCCAGCGTCAACAGCAAACTTGTCGATGAGGGGCGATGCGCAAGTGATTAAGCAAGGTCTGAGCGCATGCCCCCCCGCGAACTCAACTTTGCACTCGTCGGCCAAAGCTTTCTTCAACGTCCAGATTTGACCTTTCAGGGTTCTCGCCGCCCTTGCGACTTCACCGTGCACGCGAAGATCTCCGACGGGACTGACCTCGCCTCCTAAGTCTAGGCCAAGTGAAGCTTCCACGGCCACCTTGAACGCCGCGAAAGAAGACACACCATCGCACGCGAGGATTACTCTGTCGTGACCGACGAACAAAATCATGCCCCGAAGAACCATGATCGAGCGAGGATCCGCTCGGTTCTCAAGCAAGACGCGGCCCCAAGTCGATTTGCCATCCCGGCAACGCTGAATCACGGCGGGGCGCCCTTTTCCTCCTCTTGACCGTTTCCCTTTTTACCATTTGACCACGCGCAATCAATTGAGATCACGATCACAGGTGCTCCTGGCCCCCCTGATCCCGCCCTCCGCTCGGCCCCCCCCCTTGCCTTCCCCCTCGTCGCAGCGGGGGCGCCGACTCCGATATGGTAGGTGAATTTTGACATGTAGATCGACTTCCTCCTTGCTCGGCCTCAAGTCGCGCGCGATTATCTCGGGCGCTTCGGCCGCGTCATTTACGCGCGCGCCCTCGACGCCACTTAACTCGCCGCCCCCGCCATCGCCCCGCCGGTCGCCCGCCGCGTTCGCGACGGCTGGATTTCGACTGGGGCCCGCGGGCGCAGCCGGACTGCCCCGTTGCTCCGCGCGAGGCAACGGCGGGATCGCCCTTCCGTGGATCGACCTCGCCCCACGCGCCCCCCTGCCCCCACCCTTCTCGCGCGCACGCACGAGCACCTTCAACGTCGACCACCTGGGCGGGCACGCTCGCTGTAGACCCCTTCTCGTTTCTACCCGCAATAACCCTACGCCCATGGATGCCAATAACCAACCCAGCGGCTGCTGCACTGCAGCGCTTGCCGCTCCCGGAGGCCTCCGCGGGTTCAACGGGGAAGCGAGCCCCCGCGTTCAGGGGCCCATCGGCGCGGGGGGGCCCTCTGTCCATGGCAACAACTATTCTCCACCCCACTCTCCCGGCCCCTCACTGGCACTTCATAAACCCCCCTGCCGGGCCCGCCCACTTCCGCGTTCTGCAGGTCGGCGCATTTCTGCATCCAACAGTTCTCCGCTTCAACGCGCCCCGCGATTCGGCTGCCCCGGTCGGCGCCGCGGCCGCGGCCAACGCCGCGCTCACGCGGCGCGCGCCTCCACTTGATTGCCTGGCCTCGCCTCTCTGTTTCCCCCCTTGGTTTTCGATCGCTGCGCCCCCCACCCCCGCGCCCCTTGAACCGGCCCCGCCGCTGCCTCGCGGCGGGCAACTCACCTGCGTCAGCGGCCTCGCCCGTTGCATCCTGGCCCAGGCAGGGGCTGCCCTAAAATGCGCGCGGGCCCCCGCGCGCCCCCTGCCCCGCCGCGACCCGGGGCGACGGCGCATACCCCCCCTGACCTACCTCCTCTTTTCCGTCCTGAAGCTCGTTTCCCCTGGCAAGCTCCCGAGGGGCCCCCCTTCTAACATCCTTCGGTTTAACACCCTGCGTAACCCTTGGCGCCCTGCTGCTCACCTTTGCACCCTCATACCTGCGCCCCTCGGTAACCCACGGCGCCTTTGCATCCCGTTTTCCACCTGCTTTTCGTATCGGTTCCCTTCATGGCGCAATCTTTGGCACTGTGTCCACGTCCTCCACACTTGTGACGGGTGCGCCGTAAACCCTCGCATTTTTCCTTCGTCAACTTCGCGCGCGAGGCCGCCCCCACAAACCCCCCCCCATTCCAAGTCCACCAAATTCCACGTTCGCCATTGTAGCCAGTCGTTCACGCCAGCGCCCCACTCTCCAGCGTCTTCATCTTTAACTTGGCCGATCTCCATGGAGTCGCTGTTCATCGCGTCGGCGCCCAGTATTTTCTTTCTGGCCCAATCCTCACACATGATGGAGAGCTTATGGTAGGTGTCAATAGTTGACGGTTCCGGCGTCCTGAATCAGTCCTGCTGCGAGTCGCCAAACCAGTCGCCTGCGCGGGTC